CACGTTCGCAGTGGAACATAGGACTTCAAGCTAGTGGCTTGAAGTTTCTGTAGCAGTGTTTATTTTTACAGGATGGGGTTGCTAGCCTCATGCCCAACCTTTCCTCTTTACCAGTTCTATTACTGGCTTAGCGAGGTAAAGGAGTGCGTCGGCCGGGGATCGAACCCCGGACCATGTGCATGGTCGGCGAGCGCCCTAACCGCTGTGCTACCGACGCACATGCCTCACATCTACTATCTTTAAATTCCAAGGCAAACTATATAGACAAACAGAAGGTGTAGCAGTGGGATGGATTATCACGAATATCCCCTATCGTAGCAGACATCTTTGTGGACAGCTGGGAAAGTAAAGCTCCTAATACATTTAACCCTACTCCAAAAATATGGTGGGGATTTGTGGATGACACTTTCACAAACATTGTTAAAAACAGAACATGTCTCTAGCTTCTTAACGCACACACATAAACTCACTAGTAAAGGGAATAAAATTCACATTTGAATAGGAAAATGGACAAGGAGAATTAACTGTGCTGCTAGATTGTAAGATAAAACGAATAGAAGGCAAACTATACTTTCGCACTTAGATAAAGCCAACGCATTCTAATAAATATTTAGACTATAATTCATCTCATCCCTTGTCTGTCTGTGAAGGCTGGTTTAGTTAAGTGTCTAACAAACCGAGTAGTAGCACTAAGTAGTACAAGAAAAGACCTAAATGATGAAATGAAACAGACAGAGAAAGAAGCGTTGGTGTTAAGTAAATAACTATCCTAGAAAATTCATTAGGAATATCAGAAAAGGACAAAAGCAAAATAAAAATAATTGTGGAACTAATAATGATGATAACATAAATAAGAAAGAATGTAGGGCATCTACAGTCTCACCATATTAGGAGGGAGGGGATATCTGAGACCCTCCCTACGTAAGATTCTCAATAAAGCAGGAATCAGGTTGACATTCAAACGTACAAACTCACTCAAAGACAAGCTCTGTAGACCAAACGACCCAGTCGGTTAACCCAATGAAACAAAATAATATAATTTACAAAATACCTTGCAATGACTGTGAGTTAGGTCAACTACATAGGTCAAACTAGTAGGTCGGGGGTAGTCAGATTGTCAAAACATAAGAATTTAGCTAAGAGAAGAATGATTGATCCCACGAAAATAAGCAATTTAGAAAAAAACTCAGCTATAGCACTGCATGCATTAACACGCAACCACACAATAGCGTGAGTGGGAGAGGGTTAACATTCTAAGAAGTAATATAGGTAGGTGGAGAGAGATTGATTACTGAATCACGCCTGGTTCATTGAGTCTACATCCACCCAACACATGCAACAGAAATGACTCAATGCAAATACCAGAGATATGCATGGAAGATATTATTACCACCAGTCAGTGAAATCAGAGGAGGATAAGAAATAATCTTAAAATTCTATTTCAATTCAATTCACATACATCATAATATTCTAACAAGTTACTTATTATGACTATAAAAACACTCGTCTTATTTTCCATCTGATTGTATTTGATTGATAACGCTCATATTTTATTATTTCCCAATGTACATTATCCTATATTGATTTTATTCAAATGTCCGATCAGTTCCACTCATGTATATAAATGAAGGAAGAAAGTTGTGTGAGTGAGTGACTTGATATGATTATGAGCAGCAATAATTTGTGCTCGAAACGTGGTCAGCAGTAAATATTACCGTATAACACCACTGTGAGATTTTATCAAAATAAATGTTACTCACAATGAAATTATACTCAACCGCCACAATGCACAAGTTCTATTCTTATATCAACAGAGTAATTTAACGACATTCTATGCATGTAATTATTTAAGATCCCAATATTTCCTGAACCTAACCCCCAACGTGAAAATATGCCTAAACTAACTGTAATCTAACTCGAACCAACCCTAATGTCGCCTTTACTAGGTTATCTTAACCCTAACTTGTCTTTGACATAAAGCGTAACTTATTCTTTCCCAAAAAACCTAAGCTGAAACTTGTCAGATATCCTATTTAATAGCATAACACTTCGATGAGCATATCTTATGGATGATGACAAAATAATTTGCCAGGTTTCATTAACTTGTTCAGTGAGCGTTTCAAGGTCATTGGTGCGGTCGCACTCCATTAGTAGTCAATGGTGCTTAAAGTTTAACTTAGCCTATGAATGAGCTATTGAAACATTGAATTTTTTCAAAATAAAATTGAGCGCCTCGTTTAAAAACGCACACACATGTGAAACAATGACTATCCCAATGACTATTGTTTGTTAATTTCAGAGATAAACAAACAAGTTTTTTTTAAACCAAAAAAGAGGGGTGAATTGGGATGAAGAGGAATACGGGAATAACAATAAAAGTCACAACTATACAGAAAAAAGAGAATGGTACGATTGGAACACAAAGCGACCTCCTTCCCCCTCCTACACACACACACACACACACAAACATGAACACTAGATTTCCACTTTTTTCATTTCTAAAGGATATATACTTGTATTTATATATATAGAGAAGGCGATTAGTATTCAAATGTATATTAGAAGATCTATACTTCTAGATTGCAGAAAAAGAAAAGAATGCACTTCAATTGAATAAAGTACACACAGCTTAATAGTGTGCAAAATATACTTCATTTGTGAAGTGTACATTGAAAGAAAGAAGCACTCTACTATTAGTAATACTACTACTACTATTACTAATGGTAGTATTGACAAGGAAAAAAAAGGGTTCAATGTAAATAAAGTGTAACTAAATACATACATGAACAATGTATACCCCATATAACTCCCCTAGTGAGATTCATTTGTGTAACCTAGAGAAGACAGCAGGGTGACTGTTAAAAAAAATGGCCATCGAAATCAACCTCACGAACGATCACGAAAAACTTCGCAGTTAAACCCACCAGCTCAGAGAATACAACTAATTCGACAATTCATATGAACTGTGATCAAGAATTGACCGGATAGTTGCAAAATAATTGAGCGCTGAGTGAGAAGTAGACATTTATAAAATTATATTTGTAAAATCTCAGCGAAATTGAAATGAAGTGTGGGACCCTTCGGCAGTATGTGCACCTGTGGTGAGAGCTGGCTGCTAGCCAAAGTTGGTAGACAGTAATTGACGTCAGTGTTTATGTCCCCAATATTAGTGGTGAGAAAATGAGAACAAAGACTTTGCGTAGGCGGATACAGTTACCACATGGATGATCTGACACAGCCACAAAGAGATGCAAGGTTAACTTTCTGTAAGAAATAACCAATCAAAAGACTGTATTTTCTACTAACAATAATCTACAATAATGTACATTGAAATCTATAAATATGTGTTGATTTTCCTTAATAAAGGATCTGTTGCCTGGCCCTTGTCTTCTGTTGTAACACACCTACCTACAGCCAAGGTTTGAAGCCAAGATCTTCTTGTTATAAGGCAAACTAGCTCGTAGACTATTATTCAACCATTGGGAACCAATTGATCCAATGGCCAGCCCCCCGTGAATTCCAACTTTTGTGAATTCATGCTATATATAGTGCGATCACTAGCCGACGTCACTGGAGGCGAGGATTTGTCCTCACAGACGACCTAGTGTGTTGAGAGCAGAACGGGTTGAATTCAATTCGCACTATTATTATTGCCTAGACACAGAGACACTAAAACAACGCAAGCGTACACACAGAGGAGAATAGGAGAATAGAGAAATGATGAAAGAAAAGGGTATGTGGACAGCGAAGTGGCGGTGGGTGGTTAAATACTGATTCAGTTAATTAATTACGGCCAAGTTAAACTTTAGACACCAGTAACTACTACCAATCAGCGAACGACGTCGAATTATCCAATGAGATTCACGAACGCAGTTCAATGTTGTATAGCGCTTGATTCATTTCATATGCGTGCCCTTACAAGGTTACGTTTGCAATTCGAGGAGGACAGTGTTTTCCAGTATTGTCTGGATTTAGGGTTGCTCCGGAAGGAGCGAACTTGTTCGTGTGGGGTATCATGACGTTAAAAAGCTATATTAGGTCATGCTATATGCTTCAAGCGTGTTAGCATTAGAGAGGGTAAGTTGATAATTTTAATATTTCGTAGGAACTTTTTTTGCAAGGTCACACCTCTCGTTGACGCAAATTTTATATATCTGCAACTACTGGGTATTGAAACAGCCTGTGAGAGCTGCAGCTGCCGAGACGGAGAACAGCCTCATCTCAACAGTCCAATGGTACCAGCATTGTAGAGATATTGCATCTTGGAAAATGGGGAAGATTACTTCGTTGTTGGGCGGATGAGACTGTATTGCTGAAGAAGAAATACAATCGTGGTCACCAGTGAGAGAATAATATCTGGGTAATAGGTTTATACGATACTTCCCTCCGAAAGGGGTTCGTTGAAAGAATAGGAGATAGAAAGGCGACTACGTTAATACCTATTATAAAGAGACTTGTCAAACGCGGTTCAATTACACACACGGACGAGTGGAAAGGTTATAATTCACTTTGATCCTTGGGATATAATCATCACCGAGTGAACCATTCAAACAATTTTGTGGATCCAGTTACCGGAAATCATACAAATTCTATTGAAGGATTTTGGGGCCGGTTGCAAAAATCGGATAAGGGCTGTAAATGGATCCCAAAAGGATCTCATTTATAGTCATTTAGATGAATTTGTGTACAGAATGTGGTGTGACTTTTCTATTGACAGTCCGATGCTGAATTGGGAAATGTTTCTGTCCCATGTTCGGGAAAGATACCTACCCGTTGTAACTGTTTTATCCTATTTTTTTATGCATTTTTCTACAAAATATACGTTACCACTTATCATAAACGCCTCTTTCATGTGATTGGTCCGTTCAAGGTCGTTTGCTGATTGGTTGTTACTAGTGTTGAAAGTTTAACTTTGCCTTAATTACCATATATAAACAAAAAACATAACAAAACATAACCACAAAGACTAGATAACGTTGTGTACAAATGATGTGACTTACTTTCACCCGTTGATCTGCTGTATCACCAAATTTTGATATTGTGCCTAAAGTAGACTTTGTCATTATATTGTTATTATTATTACTATTATTATGAAATTTATGCATTGGCTGAAGATATCTACCGCCAATTGATGTTGTCATGGTTGTTGATCCACTGATTGTTCCACCACCGCCGGTGGCACCGACTCCTCGACCACCTACACCACCACCACTACTACTACTACCGCTGGTACTGGTAGCTGTACTAGTACTGGTCGACTGGTTTCCACTTCTGTTGATTGTTAAACCAACGCCTAGGATACGTCCACCACCATAGGAACTTTTAAAGCATTGGGATACTACGGTACTATTAGCAGTACTAATATTACCACTACTACTATTAATACTACTATTAACAGTATTAGTAGTATTACTGCTATTCATTTTAGGTGATGATAAACGTGTTGTATGCTGCTGTTGATGGTGATGATGATGATAACGATGTGATGGCTGTTGTTTCATGAGGGGATTTGTTGGATTCCTGTGCGTTGATAAATGACTGAATCGTTTAATATTAGTGTTCATATTCGCCGGTATACTGGCAGTCACAATCGCCGTTGTCGTCGTAGTTGGAGTAGGAGGGTTAGTAATAGGATTAGTAGGTTTACGTGTGATATTGTTACTATTATGAGAAGAATTCCGTTGATCTCGACGTTCAGCGTTTTGTTTGATAAAAGATTTATGCTGTGATTTATTATTATTATTATTGCTATTAATATTAGCATGATTTGGATTCGATGTCTGTGGTATAGTTCCAGATGTTGTCGTATTCGTGCTACTGTTATTCCCGCTGCTTGTAGGACTACTACCACAATCTGCACTACAGCTGCTACTACTATTATTACCATCAGTAGTAGTAGTGTTCGTAGTTGTAGCAGTCGCGGCGGCGGGAGCAGCGGCAGGAGCAGCAGCAGGCGAATGATGATGTTGCTGATGATGTTCAACAGGATTGGAATTCGTTGGATTATGTTGCTGTTGTACTGCTTCATGGCATAGTTGAAATCCCTAGAATTTCAAAAACAAAAACAAAACAAAGAAATAGGGCAATACAGATAAAGATATGTAAGGGGGAATAAATAGGAAAAAAAGTAAAAGATTATCTCATGAAGAAACTATCTGAGATCTCCTTGGATTGGAAGACTGACTGACTGGCTTCAAAAGAGAACTTTGCACCGATGTGCACTTCATGTAGTATACACCAAAGAGGAAAGAAAGCGAAAAAACGAGTATAAAAAAGAACGCGATAATGAACAAGAGTTGTGAGGCAGAAAAGATACTAACATGGGAAAAGCAATAAGGTTTTATTGGTTACGGGATTTCATCATAAGCTGACTTAGGTTAGAGAACCATAAGTAAAACCTGAGAGTACTGTTAGACAACCGTTTCCGTTGACCTAGTTTGGGACTATTCAGCAACACGCACCCACCGCAGGATTTCGAACCCAGCACCTTATGGTTACAAAGCGAGCTCGTAGACGATCAAGCCACTGGGAGCCGATCCAGTAGCCTATGAATTCAAACTTCTGCCAGTTCACGACATAGCGCGACCACTAGCCACACCCAACCTGCTGTGGAGAATGATTTCAGTCATATCACGAATAGTCTTCAGTCGGTTAGTGGTTGGTAGAATCCCGATGACTTCAAGCCCCAGACACAGTCTACATCTCCATACATGGCTTAGCTCAAACTAACTGGCAAAGATTTCATAGATTGACTTCATATCTTTGGTTTGACCACCATTACCACTTTTCTAGGGTGATGCTATGTCAGTTAACATTACTTGTTGAGGAAGGCGATGGGATAGGAATGAGTGACACCATGTCCTCATCGATTGAATTCCCCTCTTCCTTACCTAACACTCAACACCTGACCTGAATATTACTCACCCTATTATACCACCGTGAAACACGGGAGATAAAACGCAGACATCTATGATCAAAGAGAGCTAGCTTTTTCATGTCTTTCTCTCTCAATGGCCATGTGTTTCACCTCCACAATCGTAAAGGTGGAGGACGGAGAGGAATCTTTATCATTAAGCTCATTCAACAGCTGGCTATATGACAGTGCCACGTGTCAGGTGAGCGATAATGGAAAACTCAGTGCGGCGTTCGAAATGTATACAGGAGTACGACAACGTTACCTGCCTATTATCACGAATGATATTCTTAATTGTGGTTGACTAGAATATGTGACACACCGTGTGTCGGTAGGGAGAAGACAGGAATAAATTGGACCGATCAGAAGACTCTAGAAGATTTCGACTTCGACGTGGACAATTTATGTCTAATGAAACACAAAATCGAAGACTTACAGACGCAAAACCAACAGACTGGCTGAAGACGCTGAACGGCAGCGAAGACAGGACTCCAGATGAACATAGAGAAGACGGACAGAGGTAATGAAGATAACCAACCAACCAACAGCAACAACAACTAGCACCAATCACCACCAATGGGAGAGATTTAACAGAAGTTACCTGCTTCACTTATCCAGCCAGGAAGCACGATTTCAGCTAGAGACCGACGGAACGGATGAAGATGTCAAAGCCAGCCAGCCAACCAGAATCGGAAAGGCAAGATACGCCTTCATCAACCTGAAACCAGTTTGGAAATCTTCAAAACACTTAGTATAAAGAACAAGATTCGCATTTTCAACACCAATGTCAAGTCGGTCCTTCTATAGGGGTCAGAATCTTGAACTGAGTGTCACGAAAAGGATTTCCAACAGGATACTACAGACGTTTATCAACAGTTGCCTTCACTGGATCTATGCTGAAGATCAAATGGCCAGCTGGTCAGAAAGAATTAGTAACAAGAAACTCTGACATGTATCGAACCAAACAAGAGCCGATCACTCTACAAATATGTTGGAGAAAATGGAGATGGATGGAACATACAATGAGGAAACTGTCGAACGAAATCACACGCCAGTTAATTGCTCGACTGGAATCCCAATGGGAAGTGACGAGTGGGTGGTCGATGCTAGTCAAGGTGACATGGAGGAGATCGTGTGAGGTGGGGATGACAGATTTTTGGCGACCATGGACCCAGCTGAAGAACACAGCGGCAAATAGAACAACGTGGAGCCCTATGATTCCACTCGGAACCTAAGGGAATAATAATAATGTCAAGTTAGTACTTCTCTATACGGTTCAGAGACAACAGTGTTGCCTTCATTTGGTTCGATGCTGAAGATTAGACGACCAGCTAGGAAAAGAATAAGGTAACAAGGAACTCTGACAAAAAATCGATGAGGAATCTATCACCCAACAAACACTCAGAAAATAGAGACAGATAGGACACATCGAGAAGACCCACTATTTGAAGTCAAATAGGAGGCGATAAGTTGGTTGTGGATCCAAGTATGACATGGAAGGGATCATGTGCCGAGGAAACGAAAGCGCTTATGGACAATAATTGAGCCAGTAAATAAAAGACTGGAGAGAGCAGGATGATGTTGCAGATGCGTTGATGAAGTGGGCAGCGAGGAAACAGGCATAAAATGGACCCAAAGAAAAAAGTTGAATGATCTGGACTTCGCCGATGATATTTGTATGATTTCCCACAAACTGGAAGATATGCAAGTGAAAAGCAACAAGTTGGCAGAAGAAGCATCAAAGATAGGACTCCAAGTAAACATGAAGAAAACAGAGGTGATGAAGATTCCTGGCCAACACCAATACCAACAGCAACAACAACAGACAGCAATCAGCATAAATGGAAGGAACCTGAAAAAAACAACCTCCTTCACTTGCCTAACTGGGAAGCATCGTTTCAACTACAGGCGAACGGAACTGACGAGGATATCAAAGCAAGAATCAGAAAAGCAAGACAAGCTTCCATTACTCTCAAGTCTGTGTGGAGGTCAACAGTAATACTCAGCATGAAAATAAGATCCGAATTTTCAACTCCAATGTGAAGTCAGTGCTACTTACTATACGGATCAGAGACTTGCACTGCGCGTCATAAAGAGCACCTCAAACAAACTACAGAACTTCATCAACACCTGTCTACGCTCAATACTCAAGATCAGATGGCCAGAAAAAATCAACAACAGGGATCTCTGGAACCGATTGTGAAACAAATAAGCAGGAAGAAATGCAGGTGGATTGCCATACTCTGAGAAATCAAACCATCAAGTGACATTACTAGAAAAGCCATTGCTCGAGTGAAACCCGAATGGGAAGCAGCGAGTTGGTCGTCAGTGCGAGGGTGGTTGACTTGGAGGAGGTCATGTGAAGAGGAGATGAAAACGTGTGGTCAGACCTGGAGCCAGGTGTAAACGTTGGCAGAGAACCGAACGCAATGGAGACGCGCGGTTGAAGCCCTATGTTTCTCTAGGAATTAAAGAAAATGATAATAATAATCGTCTTTATCAAAAACACACACGTATAATCTACTGAAATAAACTCTATGCTAATGCGTTAATGGGATTCCCATCTCAATTATTAGTAGTATTATAATTGAAGTAATTGAAGTAACTTGAAAGGAGAAAAGACGCAGTAATTGTGTTTATTTAAGTGTGTATACACAGAATTATAAACACATCTGCCCCATTATGCTTATGATGCATGCACTCAGGTATATGATGGATGTCTCCTTCTCTAAATATAGATATCTACACACATATATTTATAATATACCCTACAAACACTATTCTGTACATCATTTCCCGCGGTTATCGCCATGTACTCTTCATCTAAGCACACTATTCAAGTACACTTATTATCGTATTCCACTTATATGACAGTAAACTATTAGAAAAAATGAGAGAATACTTCATATATACATATATAAGTAGTATATTACATTAAAAATAAAATAAAAGCTATACCATACAAACACAATTAGTGAATCAACGACTTTTAAGACGTTATAAGCGAAGAGATTAAGGATTATGCATATATACATATATATATATATATATATATATATATAGTTTCCTTTATTTCCTAGAGGAACATAGGGCTTCAGCCACATGTGTCCATTTCGTCCGGTTCTCCGCCAACATTTTCACCTGGATACACGTCTGCCTTCATGCTTTCATCTCCTCTTATCATGACCTCCTCCAAGTCACCCTCGCATTGACGACCAACAAACTCGTCGCTTCCCATTCGTGTTCCACTCCAGCGATGGCCTGACGTGTGGTGTCACTGACCTGATGGTTTGATTTCTCAGAGTATGGCCAATCCAATCCACCTCAATTTCTTCCTGCATATTTGTTGCACAATCGGTTCCTGTTGGTTTGGTTCGCTCGCTCGCTCTCAGAGATCCCTATTGCTTATCTTTCCTGACCGGCCATCTTATCTTGAGCGAAGTATTGAGCGAAGACATATTGACGAAGGTTTGTAGTTTGTCCTAAGTGCTCTTTATGACGCGACAAGTCCCTGATCCATAAATCGATTAGCCCATAAATTATAACTTTACCAATATGTAATACATACATCGCAACTACACCAGCCAATGCCATCGGCTAGTATTTGTCTTCGTACCCAACTTAGTGGACCTAGTTAGTTACTACAAGTGAGGAGTCACTTCGTGACCTTAAAGTACTGGGATCGATTTCTGGTAGGGTCATAGGCGTGTACTGCTACAGAAAAATCCCAAACTGGGACGAAACGATTGTCCAGTACACCTGGGTTTTTCAATGGTTCTCTAAATGAAGTCAATTACTCCATTTAAATCCTAATTCAAATTTCTGAACGTGTTTATTATAAATAACTACAGCTTGTTTTACAAAACTAATTATCATTTAAAATGCGTTCAATAGACTAGTGGAGGCATTACAACGTAAACCTAGATCTCAAATTTTTTATAAGTTAAGCGCAGAAACTTTGTTCATTGAAAAAGCTAGTTAAAAAATTCTGATTTATAACATCTTGTTTAATTCAATTTAGACTTTCCTGTCGATTGATCGGACCGAAGTGCTCGGTTTCAGGTTGATATCTTGGGTCTCCTTGTGTAGATGCTTCAACGAATTGCACAAGAGGTGGCTGTCGCGACCCAAGTGGATAATGATTTGGCGTTTGAAACTACGGACACTGGGTTCGAGCCCCGGTGGAAACACCATCAATCACTGTGGGGGGCAGGTACATACAGTGGACGAGCCCCAAATGGGACGAAACGCGCATCCTGAATTCTACTGATAGTCACCATCTTGTTTTAACTTTTATATTAGCATCAAGGAGAGTAAGCTGTTACAAGTGTGACCGCATGAGACCCAGATGGGTCCCAGCATCACACCCGGGTATTATCACAATAACTCTAGATTAATGTACAGCAGGGATGAAAGCCAAGATATTGATTTTACCCAAAAGAAGAAACATCTAAAATAATTGATCCTATTAAATAAAACAAGTTACTGAGAAGGAGACTGAACAGTGACGAGAAAATATTGATCATCTGCACGATGTGATACCAATGAAGTCACTAATAAGCCGACTACTTATATGTCGTCTTTGGTATAGACTAGGCGATTTTTTTTTCCTTCACGTTCCCCAGTGGAACATAGGGCTTCAAGCTAGTGGCTTGAAATTTCTGTAGCAGTGTTTATTTTACAGGATGGGGTTGTTAGCCTCATGCCCAACCTTTCCTCTTCACCAGAATTATTTCTGACTTAGCGAGGTAAAGGAGTGCGTCAGTGGCCGGGGATCGAACCCCCGACCATGTGCATGGTCGGCGAGCGTCCTAACCGCTATGCCACCGACGCTATAGACGAGGCGATAATTACTTCTGTTGATCAAAGGAGATGTATTCTGTGCAGCTGTTCACTTTGTCCTTCCTCATGGATGTGAGACACGGTCATTGAAAGTGGAAGATATGAAAAGGATAGTTGTCTTTCATCATAGGTGCCTGCATTCTATCTTCTTTGTTAGGTGAGTAATATTCAGGTTAGATGTAGAGTGCTAGGTAAAGAGGAGAGTGATTCATTCAATCGATGGCAAGGATTGGTGTGTTGCACATGCTGAACCACAGGCTTTCTCTACGAGTAATGTTATCTGAAATACGCGGTTGGGTTGGAGTGGTAATCGGACCAAAATCTCGAATCAGTCTATGCAGCCAGTCATGTATGAAGGTGAATACCACCTAGTTGAGTACCTCGGGATTCTAGAAATCAATGGCTGGGGACAGTTGGCGATCAGGTTAAGCATCGTTAACAATGACGCAAATGCATTCATCATCATCCTCTGAAATCTCTCGGATGCATGAAGTGTGGTAACTTCAGCAAAGTTCTATATTGGAATCAGTCGATCGGTCGGTCAGAAACTTTAATATTTCTCAATAAGTAGTAAAAACAAAAACTTCACTTTAGAAGTAACAACATATATGTTAAATTACACACACACACACCTGGCTAATTCTTTGTAGTACCATTTCTTGAAATACTTCACGAGCAGTCAACTGACGGTGATTGTAATAAGCTCCAGGTTCCAGATCACTAAAAAAACAAAACAATTAGACAGGAAAAAGAAAATGAAAAGCATGAAGCAACTCAATAGTTGTACCTGTTGAATTCAAAGTGACGTGAGGGGGGTGGGTTAAATAAAATCTATTCAATGGTTGGAGGTAATCGCCACGAGAAAGCTCTGTCTGGATTTAAGTATGGTGCTTTTTAGCACTCACCAGTCAGCAGGGCAAATCTCATGTGTTGATCAAATTGCAACTCTACGCATCGTTATCATAATCATCGAACAAAGCATAGAATGGAGGTCAGACCTGTCTCTACCTCAAGTGAGAGTTCATGGTCTGGCCATTGAAGAGCCAGATCCCACTGGCTGAATGGCTGTCCAGAAGTTAACATTCCTTGTAGCCAGACGGTCCTAGGTCTGAACCCCGGTGACGGGTGCGTACTTCTCCTGAGTCCCTAACTAGTGGGACGTAACAGATGTTCACTACTTGATATGGCTGGTTTTCCAATGGTTCTCTAACTATCATCAATCCTCGATCAAACTTGACGACAGTTAAAAGTACAAAGCTGGGTTGATTACATCACCAAATCCGCAAACACATACACAGGATTCTGAATCAGCAGCACCTACCTGCTGCTTATCTACCTTATATCTTTGTCGATTTATCAATCAATAAACACTGATTACAAGTTTCTTTTTACACTGAATAATATCTTTTTTACGAGTTGATCACTGATTGATATCAGTTAGAGAACCATTGAAAACCAGCCACAGGGAGTACTGCCAGAAAGTTTTTTCATCCCACTAGTTTGCGAATCATCGGCAGTACGCATCCACCTCACTGGGGTTCCAACCCAGGACTTTCCGGCTACAAGGCAAGCTCGTATACCATTCAGTCACTGGGATCTGACCCGATACAATGGCCAGCCAGTGCATGAATTCTAACTTCTACCAATAAGGGATTAAGCGCGACTAGCACCAACCAATGTCGTCGGTAGGACATCCATCCTCGTACGTTACATCTGGATGGACCTTACTAGTCACGACTTCTCACTAGAACTGACTCCAGGAAACTCCATCCTGTAGCAGGTCACTAGCAAGCATCAGATTACTTTTCTTTAGTTTGGTTTGTAAGGGTTAGTTATGTTTTTACGAGTTGATGCGTGGATGGATGTCCCACCGACGACATTGGTTGATGGTCGCGCTACATCACGAGTTGGTAGGAGTCAGAATTCATGGACTGGCCATTGAATCGGGTCCCAGTGGCTGAATGGTCTACGAGCCAGCTTGCCTTGTAACCAGAAGGTCGTGGGTTCGAACCCTGGTGGTGGGTGCGTACTGCTTATGATTCCCAAACTGGAATGAAACAGCTGTCTAGCAGTACCCCTGGCTGGTTTTCAATGGTTCTCTAATTGATATCAATCAGTGATCAACTCGTAAAAACATAACTAGCCCTTACAAACCAAATAATAATAATAAACCAAGTGATAATAATATTTTAAAACAATCAATATTACGACTACTATTCTTCTTATCATTATTATGATTTCAGTCATATCGATTGAATGAACCATAAAGAATCTACAAAATGTAATGAGTAGATAACAGTATGACTTTTGTTTAATGAATACCACCCGCCACCCCCCCCCCAATACACACACCACCACCAACACCACACTCAACTCTTCAGATTTGAATAATACGTTGTTGTAGTAGTAGTGGAACAATAAAAAGAAAGCAAGAATGCTTTTTTTCTTTCTCTTATAACTAACGTGTTCAAATTCATACCGAAAAAGAAAGGCCTCCTCAACAGTGTATACACAGTCTATCCACAGATAATAATAATGAATACAAACTCATTTGTGATGAAGTGAAAAACACAATTGAAAAAAGCATAAGAATAAGAAAAGTAAAACCAGACAGAAATACCGTGAAGTGCATTCATCATCATTGAACAACAACACTAGGTACTCTCTATCTCTCGCTCTCTTCACTCTACACAGTTGAATTTATTCTACTTCGGTTAAGATAACACGTAGGAAACAGAAATGAGAGAAATTGGTCAATACTTTTAAATATTATTATCATTATTGTTTCCTTTAATTCCTAGAGGAACATAGGGCTTCAGCCGTGCATCTCCATTGCGTTCGGTTCTCTGCTAGAGTCTTCAACTGGCACCAACCAAGTCTGCCCACACGTTTTCATCTCCTCTTCACATGACCTCCTCCAAGTCACCCTTGGACGACCAACTCGTCGCTTCCCTTTCGGGTTCCACTCGAGCAATGGCTTGTCTAGTGATGTCACTTGATGGTTTCCTCAGAGTATGAACAGCTAATCCACCTCCATTTCTTTCTGCTTATTTGTTGCACAATCCGTCCCTGCTGGGTTGGTTCGCTCCCAGATATCCCTCCCTGTTGCTGATGTTTTCTGGCCGGCCATCCGATCTTGAGTATTGAGCGAAGACAACTGTTAATGGAGGTCTATAGTTTGTTTGAGATGCTCTTTATGACGCGCAGTGCAAGTCTCTGATCCGTAAAGTAAATAGCACTGACTTCACATTGGAGTTGAAAATCCAGATGTTATTTTTTATTCTGAGTGCTGTTGGCCTCCACACAAACTTGAGAGTAGTGAAAGCTTGTCTTGCTTTTTCGATTCTTGCTTTTATATCCTCTTCAGCTTTCGACATTATCCTAATCAAATTGATGACCATAATTGTCTATATGCATTGATTCTAAAGAATGCATATCGTGTCTTTTCATGACTGATTTGTGTTCTTGGATTCTAATCCGAAGTGGACGCTCACTTTGGCCGATGTACTGCCTGTTGCAGTTCATACAATTTATTTTGTAAATGGTATTAATTCTATCCCCTTTTCCTATTGGTTTGCATAATATCGAATTAAGCGACTTGACTGGCTTGTGTGCTATATCTATATCAAATGGTTTCAGTATTCTAGCTGTTATTTCAGAGATATTCCTTATGTATGGTAGGATGAATTTTCTTGTGGTCTTTGATGATGGTTTCTCGTTGGTGTTTTGATTCGACTTTGAACACTTTTTGATGAAATTTTGCGGATAACCATTCTTTTTTTGAAGACCGTTTGTAGGTGAAAAGACACGATATGTATTCTTTAGTATCAATGCATATAGACAATTATGATCATCAATTTGATTGGGATAATGTCAAAATCTTAGACAGAGGAAACACTAAAAGTACCAGGGAATTCTTAGAAGCCTGGTACTCAAACGAAAATGCAATTAACAAGCATGTTAATATAGACGAAATATACCAACTAATAAACAGTAAATCAGGTGACTAGAAAGTTTAAAATCCAAGTCAATAGAAAATGGTCAATACATATGTAAAGATAGTTACCAGGAGACGCAATTATATCACTCATGAAGAAATTTAAATCATTTCACTTTGTGCTAAGTATGGCGCTAAAGATGTTGTCCAGAAGGAAGATGAAAGCTTCGCAACTAAACCAACCAGCTCAGAGAACACTATCAATTGCAAATCATCCACCTGAGCTACAAATCTCTATTATTTCAAGACTATGCGTTCAATCAGGTGGGCCTACATAGGCAAATGAAGATGAAATCAGAACTCTTTATATAAGCCCTACATTGCTCCTCTAATAGTACCCCATATAAAGTAGAAATCGTTTACTTCAGAGTTGACAAACTGATTATCTTGATCAGTCACGTTTCATCACAGTGCACTGGTAAGTAGGACGCCCAACCGACAAACCGAAACGGTATAAATTACAAGATAAATAGCATTAGTTGGGGGATTTCATCATGAGCTGACAACACTTAGAGAATCATTGGAAAACCCGGGAGTCCTGGACATCTCTTTTGACCTAGTTTGGGACTCTTCAGCAATACGCACCCACAGGGGTTCGAATCCAACCAGTCAAACAAAAAATCCCTAAAAATCCAAAACTGAAAAATTAATCTGATGCTCACTAGCGATTGGCCCTATTCGAGTAGGTACTTACCTGAGGTTCTAATGGGAAGCCGTGACCAGTAGGGTGCAGCAGGTAAAAAGTGGGGCAGTAATTTATCGAAGAAGACATTGAGAAGTGGTCGCGCTATGCCATGAATTGGCAGAAGCTAGAATTCATGGACAACTAGCTGTTGGATCAGTCGAGTCCCAGTGGCTTAATGGTCTACGAGCTAGCTCAATCGCTCGGCTTGTAACCAGAAGGTCCTGGGTTCGAACCCCTGTAGTGGGTACGTACTGATCAAGAGTCCCAAGTGTCTATGACGGAGGAAACAGATATCTAGCAGTACCTCCTGGTGGGTGGTTTTCAAATGGTTCTCTAACTAATTTCAGCTCATGATGAAGTCCTCCAACCAACCAAACCGAAAAAATCCCTACAAAACCAATACTTGAAAATAAATGACATTATTTTATATCTCGAGAATAAAAGACACTAACACTGTTTTCCTCACAACAATCCCTTTTTTCACTGCATTACTCATAGAGCGTTAGAGTGATTCAATGGTGGTAGAATGCTCGACAAGCACACTGCAAGTAGTCCGAATGGTGGAATTCCTGGCAACCTATGCACTCTGACACTTTGCTCAGCTGGTAGCCATCATCGCTAGTGAACCTTCAAACCTCAAGCTTGAAGCCGTTATATTCCACTGGGAATGTCAGTTAAGGAAGGCAGAAACGCGAGAAAAACACACACACACACAAACAGAACAAAATATTACTCACTCATTATTGATTGACATCCATTCATCCAGTGACATACCACTCGGTACAACACGATAATCGTGTAGGATATACCATTCACTGCGTAGACGATTAGTATCTGGAAAATAGTCTGTATCTACAGGTAGACAGGCTGGTACAATCAACGATTTCCAATCAACACCTATATAAATGTAAACAAAAACGACACATAGAAGTTCAGAATAAGGAGTATATTTAATTAGTGAGTAGTGGCTGGGGAGGGCCTGGGGTTGTGACAGAATAAAGGTTTGGGAAATCCCCACCCCCTCCCCTCCGGCTGAAAGATCCTAATTACAATATCTATAGTTATTTCGATGTTTCAAACAACTTTGGAATTATTATCCGTTAGCCTCCTAGACTCTATATCATTGTTCTGACATTCGTCTACGATATGTTGACTTCCCCGACCGATAGCTGCTACCTTGACGTGGTGGTCAGGCTTGCATATCGCAATGACCCAATGAGCTACACTGACTGCAAATTATGTTCCTGTTGGTCCTACCATGCCAGAAAGGTTGTCTGGATAGCGGTTAGACAAAAAGCAGCTACCCAATCCAATACTATGATTCAAACAAACCCAAAAAATATCATGCCGGATCGGTCGGAGTCCGGATTAACAACGACCGCGCTTCCTGCTGCTGTGTCACAGGGCAGAAGTGATAAATATGCTACTGAGACACACCAAACAAGCTGCTACAGAAACTTCAGCACGACGAATCTCATTGCGTCAAAAGAAAAAGTCTGTGTGGGGACATGGAATGTCCGCGCCATGTACGAGATTCGCAAAGCTGCCCAGATCGCAAACGAAATAATGTTGACTTCATCCTTATTAGTGTTTCTCTTTGTCCCTCCCCCTGTTTAACCTCTAATTTCAATGCTTCCCTTTGTGGTTGTACGATGAATCAAGATGATTCTGATATGAGACTGTCTGCAGTGGGATTTGCTGGTGTGTAATTCTTGTGGACAGAGTTTTAGTCCCACCATGTTCGAGATGTCCTACTTAATTCCCAGAAAATTCTTACAGTTGCATTTTGATTAACTAATTTTGTTCTACAGTACAGTACTTGTTTTGTACTGTCTAATTAGCTACCGTCTGATGCTAGCACTGTTAAGGTAATTTCGAGTTTTGTTGAGTAGAACTTAACACCTAGATCTAGATCTACGAATAACCGTCTTTTCACTGTCTCTCTGGAGCATTTTGTGACTGACTGTGTGCGTGTCTCAAGGAAGTTTCGTTGTAACACTGGAGTCGACTGGAGTCAAGGCATATTTCATCTACAAATTGACGGTGAGATTAGAGAGAAATATTGAGCAGGAAAAAGCAGTTGGGGGGGGGAGGAGTAGTCTGTTCTATCTCTCTAGTCTGAAAGAGATCCACACCACCACCACCAGGTGGGGAAGATTCATTACTCTTGTAAATTGATATAATCCATAAAATACAATAAAGGGAATGTGAAAACACCAGGGAAAAAAGATTTTAAAAAATTCACCACCAGCATAGCGATTGTATTGGAAATGATGATGATAATAATAGAGGTATAAAGCACGAATATACATGTGTAGTACTGGCATTCCTACTAACTACTACTACTACTACTACTACTACTAATGCTCACATAAACAATAAGCGTTTGGAGATAGGCATGGATAGGCATCAGCAGAGCAACTAATAAGAATAATAAAGCGAACTTTACATGGAAATCAATAGACAAATAAATGAAATACACATGAACACTCACTCACTCACACACCCAAGCACACACGCACGCACATATACACACAGACAAACACACACACAAGGAAAACGAGAAACATAGATACAGGGAAGTGATTACAGACAACAAATACACTTATATATAATAATAATAATACACATTGAAAACACTGAAGAACAATGAATGCATATAATGAGAAACGGAAAATTAAACATTTATAAAACACAAAATAATCGAGCAAAGAATATTCTTTTCGATAAATTCCTCTTCCAGGCTCTACAATTATCTATATGCATGTTTATACACAAAGAATATTTTAAATTAGTAGTTAATAACAATATTAGCGTTTTTTTAATAATATCGACTTGTAAAGTAAGATCACAATGGAATTACAGTTCATTAAAGATGCTTAAATTATAATAATAATAATAATAATAATGATAATAAAGATATAACAGCGAATAGAATATCAACTAAAATAAGGGAAATTTCACAAAAATTCTGGATTATTCAAACCTGGATGGCCAAGGTAATGATAATGACTGAATTAACTTCTTTTGAATGCATAAATTAGGCTTGTTAATACGGATCTACACAGCCTCAGCAATATTTAGAAGTCGAACTCTTAAAGCGAAATTGAGATTCGTAGGTATGCGGTAAATGACCCTGGAAGCATGATTAACGTCAATCTTGTGTTCTGTCTCCACAAGATGCGCCAGAATAGCGCTGCGAATGAATTTTGTTTGACCTTTGCTTAACCAGGCAGGGTGATGTTCGGAAATTCAACGAGAAACACGCCTAATTGTACGTCCTATGTAACTGGCTTACTCCACAGGAGCAGTTAAATTGGTATATACACATGGAAGAGGCGGAATTAGGCAGTTTGTCTTTTATTCCCGAATGCAGAAGAGGAGTGGTTTTAAAGATACAGCGTAATTGAGCAGCAGGGAATGCTCTTTTTACCGCATTTCTGAGGCAATGTGTTAGTATCTCACTTATATTGTCTCCTAGGAACTGCATCTGTAAGAACAAGGCTTTCTTTGGAACTGTTGGTAACTTGGACTGTTTTGGTTTTAGATTCATATTCTTATCAATAAACTTTTCGGGATAACCATTCTCACTTAGCAACCGTTTATTATTGTTAAGCTCCTCGTCAAGACATTCATCCGAGCAAATCTCTCTTGCTCTGTGGACCAAGCACTTTATTAGATAGCGTTTGTATTTCAAGGGCACAAAGCTGAGAAAATGTGTGTACTGGCCCGTTGATGTAGGTTTTCTATAAACTGCTCCTGTGGAGCCAGTTACATAGGCCGTACAATTAGGCGTGTTTCTCGTTGAATTTCCGAACATCCTCCTGTGTGGTTAAGCAAAGGTCAAACAAAATCTATTCGCAGCGCTATTCTGGAGCATCTTGTGGAGACAGAACACAAGATTGACGTTAATCATGCTTTCAGGGTCATTTACCGGCAAACCTACAAATCTCAATTTTGCTTTAAGAGTTCGGTTACTAAATATTGCTGAGGCTGTGGGGATCCATATTAACAAGCCTAATATGTGCATCCAAAAGAAGTTAGTTCAGTCATTAATTATCATTACCTTGGCCATCCAGGTTTGAATAATCCAGAATTTTTGTGAAATTTCCCTAATTTTAGTTGATATTCTATTCGCTGTTATATCTTTATTATTATTATTATTATAATTTAAGCATCTTTAATGAACTGTAATCGCCTTGATCATACTTTACAAATCGATATTATTTAAAAAAACGCTAATATTGTTATTAACTACTAATTTAAAATATTCTGTGTATATAAACATGCATGTGTATATAATTGTAGAGCCTGGAAGAGGAATTTATCGAAAAGAATATTCTTTGCTCGATTATTTTGTGTTTTATAGATGTCTGAATGAATATTTTTGCAAAATTAAACATTTGTCGAACACATAACAATAATAATAATAATAACACCGAACATCAAGGAAGGCAGGAAAATAAGGGGAACAGACAAATAAAACTGGGCATTACCAATACGTCGTAACATATTTCGCAGGCCAGCTGAAAATGAAGTAATGACCGATTAAGTACAAAAAGGTAAAATCATAAATGCATATATATATAATAATAGTAATAATAATTTACTTTATTCTAAAAACAGCACTACTTATAATACAGAATGGAATTCTCAGTATTTGTCACAATATTGCATCTGATTTACTCAAAATACATATAAAATTAAAACAAAATTAACCAGAGGAATTTGTCCACATTTACGACATAATTATTAGATATAATAATAATAATAAATACTAATAACAGTGAGTTTGTTTCAAACGGTATTGTCGATTCAGTTTGGGAACTTTAGCATGTTATAGATTATTGGGTCTAGTGTTCTGTTGATATAACAATATGGTGAGGGGAAATACAAAATTAACAGTTATAATACAGCTTAAAATTATGTCCACACTTATGAAAAATAAAATAAACAAATAAAAACAAAAAATTGAGAGGATTATAAATATAAGAAATACAATAACAATAAAGTTTGATGTTGTAAGGGTGGAGGAAATGGTTTATTTAGTAGTGCAAAGAAGGTTAGTTAGTTCATTTCTGACGCTATTTTCATCACATAAAGTATGTGCTAAATATGGTACAGTGGAATTTTTATACTAAGACGTACGTGCATAAATTCTTCTGAAAAGACTTCTTGTTTTGCCTGAAGAGGAGACACAAGGTTGGAGCTGCGGGTAGACTGGGTGCTCAGAGTCTGACAAAATTCCTTTAGCAAATTTGTTGCATGACATCAAGTGCCTATCAGTGACAATGTCAACGATATGGCCCAATGGGATACCACCACTCGCCCTACTGACTGACAGTCTTCAGAGTTCTACGAAGTATGACATAGTCCTTTTTAAGCAATCCAGGAGAGAATAAGCAAGGGTGAACAGTAAAGAAGAATAGGTAAGATGCACGAGTTGACAAACTGTAAGAGGAGGCGTTGGTTGAGTTATGCTTGAATGCCTTAACTTCTTAATGTAAAAGTCAAACGAAATATTCTTTTAGAAATCGCTAAGACATGAGAGGACCAGGATAGGTCAGAAGAGAGAATTAAACCAAGATACTTAACTTCAGACTTGGTTTCTATATCAGTATCATCGATTTTGCAAGGGTCATAGGAACCAACGGCTTCATTTAACTTTCGTTTACATCGGAAACTGAAGTTGACAGTCTGACATTTGGAAGGATTAAGTTTAAGGCCGTTAGACGATTGCATTGTATATATATATATATATATATATATATATATATATACATTGGATGCTGACCATCACTGTTTAAGTCGACTTGTTCAGCTGAAGGCTTCCGGTCAAGCATCCCCGCTATTTGGCACTCCGTCGTGTCACGTGCGTGCACGATTACTAGCTAGCT